TTGCAATATTGATCGTGGTGTCACGACGATTTCGCGCATTTGTTGTAATTGGATGATATTTTTTTTTCGTGAAAAGTGAATAGTTTAGGACGGGAGATGTTCGCTCGGAAAGTGAAGTCGGCGGATTTCACGGCGTCGTTGCAGCGCTTCGCCGATCTTCACCGGGATTGCGCTTCGCGAGCCAAGCATCTTAAGCTTGCGCTGGACGCCCTCTGCGTACAGGTCATTCTTCCTTCTACAACATACCTAGCTTCTTGTAGTATCATTTATTTATAAGCTTCTCGGTTACCGGGCTTGCGATCGTGGCAGATAGTGCTGCAGTCATAGTGAAGTCGTTGGATCGATTCAGCGGTGGGGAAACCAATTCAGGTGGCGGTCCAAGTGATAAAGGGGTACTGGTACATATCAAGAGACCAAAACAGTCATCACATTGCTATAAGTAATTTTTTCTCGGAAGAGGTAGACATCCATAACCTTGGCCTTTGACAGTTTTCTTCACTCAGGCACTTTCGAATGTTTTCTCCATGCAGAAATTTGAGGGGCCTTGATTTTTCATTGATCAGTACTGGACGTGTTTGAACAGAAGCGTGTTTGAACAGAAGCAAACGTAGGATACATCGTTCTGGTCATTTCAAAATTTAGCCTTTATAGGTCGTCGAGGTTTGAGGGACTACTTATTAGGTCTAGATGTAATTTAAAATGTTATATTGGTTTTCTTTTTGTGTGAAAAGCTGCCTTAGTTTACGACTTGATGGACCGAAACATTCCTGTTTATTTCATTATTTTTTATTGTATATATTTTTGTCATGTTTTACAATTTGTATTATTACTGGTGCCTTTGTTTTACTAATTTATGGTAACAGTCAAGAACTCGTCCTAGTGTTTGTAGGATAAGCGGCAGTTCATGGAAGATTACAGTTTTGAAACGTTTCATCTGGTCGACGAATTGCTTCTGCAGGCTGATTTAACACAAACAGCACAGTCAGTTCTGGAGGCCGAATCAGCTCTGTGGACACTGGAGCAGTTGCTGTGTCTTGTCCCTGAACTTGTCGGCAGCGGTGTGTTCTTTTTCCAGTCCATCTTTCCTAATCTGTCTCGTATCTCCCGGTCTCTCATCTGATTCGCTTTTCAGGATGGCAGAAGCATGCCATTGAGTATATCCTGAAGAAAGCGCTTTTCCCACGCAACTTGCTAGCTGTACGGAAAATTGCACTGCGTTTATTTTTAATTTGGTACCAATGTTTGGCCATGTACGGTAATACCAATTCCCAGCTGGACATGGTATTCCAGTGTCTCCTTCCTCATTTCCCTCTGAGGTTTGTTCTGCTTAATGTTTCGTACGTCCTGCTTCTCATTATTAATTTCCATTCTTTTTTTCAGAAAAGGGCAGCTATTTTCTGTTTTAGTGCCACAAACA